TTGACGTGCCGGGACCGGCACGTCTAACCTTGACGGGGGGATGGTGTAACGGGGTTACACGCACAAGTGGCTACAGTCACTTGTTACTCTAACAGATGCGATGTCTGTTAGAGGTTTGAACACGTCCTCGACCTTGGTGTAAGGTACACCAATGGCTACATACATTTTTCGACCACCACGACGGGTGGTCCATAGAGACTTAGGATTCCTATTGGCTGAGAGCAGCATCTTTTAGCCAATGAGCGACATGCATAGCATTGGAATTCTGTCAACCAGCCGTTGGCAGATTCCTATCTTAGAATATTACATTTAGAGGAAGTCAGAAACATAAAACAAAAATAGCAGTTCTCATCTTTTACCAAAACCCGCTACTTGGAGTCTTTATCTTGTTTAAAGTATACTCGTGGATCTCGAGTATACTTAACTCAAGTAAAAGAAACGTACGCTTCCTCATACACGTGCGCATACGTGTAAGCCGTAGTAGTGAGCTAAGGTAGGCCCACTACAGGTCCTGTCCGCGTTTGCCTTTGCCACAACGAAGCCGGTGAAGAGATCCACGAAGTCTAGGAGCTCTGTGTTGCCCTTGAACGACTTCGGGAGGGTGGGGATATGATCCATAGCCACGACCTGGAAAGGGTAATTAGCGGCGATATTGCCCGGCGATCGCCCCCGCAAGGTGGGTTTTCCTTTTCCCGTCTCGCAGTCAACGCACTCCCCGACATACTTCTGCACACTTCGGAACATACCTCGCCAGTAGAAATGCCTCCGAAGCTTTTGGAATGTTCGGCTGACTCCCTGATGACCTCCCTCCACACTTGTGTGGAAATGATGCAGGAGATATTCGTGGAGTGTACTCGGCATTACCAGTTTCACCATAGATCCACGGTCCTCGACATCACCACCGCGCCCCTCGACTGGACAGTACATCAAGAGGCCATGCTCGTCGACCTCGTAACTGTCAGCCAGTTTACTGCACGTCTTGGCTTGACGGCTCGAGATCTGAGAGAGATCACCGTGCAGGAAACACTTCAGTGACCAGATCCACACCTCCTCGTCTTGAGCACGGCAAATACGTTCCAAGCGCAGCTGCTTGACGACGTCTTCCTGCAACACGGCTGGTGCGACAGTACAAGATCGGCTTCGCGTGACAGCGCCTATCTTCGGATGGGCGTCACGTTCTTCGCGCGTCTTGAGGAGCTCGTTCAGCCGATTCAAGGTCTCGAGGTCCGTGTAATCGGTGTGACTCTCGACAACTACCCCGGCACCACGCTGCAGCGCCTGTCCCGCCAGCATATCCGCGGGTTGGTTCCAATCGCGTTTTACGTGGATGAGTTCGCATTGCGACCAAGACCGCAAAATCACTCTGGCCTTCTCACGCAAGAGCTGGAGTCCCGATTGGCGGATGACTAAATTGGAGTCGCCACACACAATGAGACGGTCGATCTGGAGATCGGCAATCAAACGAAGTCCGAGAAGGAGGCCATGGTACTCGGCCTCGTTCACAGTGAGGTCCGGTAAATAGCCAGATTCAGCCTTGACAACCTTCCATCCAGGAGCATCCCATACCACAGCGCTGAAAGCTCCACCAACTCGTTTCGGCTTGGCCGATCCGTCAAAGCTGACGACGCAAACGTTTTCTCCGGGCGTAAAAGTCGGCATCGGGATAGCCAATGCTCTCGTCGACTTCTTCTGCGGAGAGATCTCCTCCAACGCTGCATCCATCTCTGCGCGCGGAGTGATACTGGCGGCAACCAAACCTAGTAGCTCATCTTCGCCTTTCGTTAAACGTTCGATCTCTAGCGAATGGGGGGAGAGCAGCGCCGCCCACTGAGCTAGCCGTCCCTTCAAGCCTTTCGCGCGGAAGAGCCATGCGAGAGTCGTGTGTCTGGTGAGCACTCGGATGTGTCGACCACTCAGCATGGTGAAGCAGCTATCGAGGATTCTTAGCAGAGCCAGTACTTCCTTCTCCACAATGTCGTACCCGATCTCGTGAGACCGCAGTGTCCTACTCGTAAATTTGACGGGTACGTACACTCCATCACGACACTGAACGAGAGAGGCAGAGATCGCCCACTTGCTTGCGTACACAATCACAACAGGATCCAACTCTGGGGCAAAATGGTAGAGCATGGGTGCGTTGATCATCTTGAACTTCAGGGTATCGAAGGCTCGTAGCGCGTGGTCCCATCTCACAGTCGCCTCGTGATTTCCGCTGACGTTTGTGGCTCGATCCTTGATGAAATCGGAATCTCCGAACTCATACAACACTGTGGCATATACTGCGAAATCTTCGATGAAGCGATTGTAGTAGTTGAGACTGCCGAGGAATGACTGGAGAGCCTTAAGCGTTTTGGGAAACTTCAACGCCTCAAGACTTGCCAAATCTTTCGGCTTGGTGAACAGACCTTCACCGTAGATCTTATGCCCCAGATAGTCGACTTTGCTCATACCCCAACTGCTCTTCTCCGCGCTAATAGACAGATTCCAGCGGTCACAAACCTCTAGGAGCTTCTTGACCTTCTCACACAGTTCGTCCCACGAGCTTGCTCCAACTAAGATGTCGTCGATGTAAGAGCGACGCCCCAGCACCGACGGCAGCGATCGATCTTCAGGAACACCTTCCTCGAAAATGTTGACGAGATCCGCGCGATCTTGACCCTGCGAGATCCGCAGCACGCCATATAACGCATTGTCGATCAGCCGCTGATAGATTTGGGGGCATTCTTCAGACGAAACGGCATTTGCAGCCACTCAAACAGGCCGAACGGCGTAATGAACGCGGACATCTCTCGGGCTCGATCGGTCATACTCACCACCCAGAACCCACTCGCCATGTCGAGAGAACAGAACCACAGCAAACAGTCGAGATCTTCGAGGAGGTCGTCAATCAACGGCATGGAGTAGATCATCAGTCGTGTCAGAGCATTGACCAGACGGTAGTCGATACAGAGTCGGACGTCCACGCCGTTCTTCTTGACGACGATAACGATCGGAGACGCCCAAGGAGAAGTGGAGATCCGAATAATCTTCGCCCCCAGTAGCCCTTTTGACGAGTTGGAACACCTTTTCACGGAACTGAGGCGGGATCCGGCGACAACGCTGAGCCACCGGTCGTGCACCACCAACGTCGATGTCACAGTTCGCCCCCGTCACCGCAGGGGGTAAAGCATTGCCTTTGCCGATGAGAAGGTGACGCCGCTCCCAAATGATATCACGCATACGATCAATCTCCTCTGCTGTGTTCTCAGTTGGATCCCCGACCTTGAGATCTTCCCTTTTAACTTCTGCCGTCAGGGAGATCTCTGGTGACACCGCCATCTCCTTTTCGATGTCTTCCGCAGTGAGATCGGCCCCTTCATGAACATACTTCGCTTCATCCATGTCGGTTGCATCTCCGCCTTGGCTTGGTTCGACCTGGGTCACTGGGAGCATTCCGCTCACCGGCTCCTCTTCTTTCTCGTCGTCGGTCTGCCAGTCAAAACTACCCCAGCTACCAGTAGACTCAGCGCTTTCGGACGCACAGCTACAGCTGTCGCTCCAGTCGCTTTCAACGATGACCGACAACGTGCGATGAACCATTTCCTCGGTGGCCGCGGCGTGTATTTTGGATTGTGGCATGAGGTCAGGGGTATATTCTGGGAACTCCTTGCGGAGCTCGGCCTCAGCCACATTTGCCGGAGTCGACGCCAAGCCTACAGGTGTTTCGCCACTGTTCGTAAAGGATAGGCCGCTCTCCTCGCCTGCGTGAGTTTCCGTACGCGGTAGACTGGAGTCACCGCTGTCCATACCAGAGATCACCTGACCGGGATCGGTAGAGATCACGTCCTCCTCGGTTTCGGTCACCCTAGTCGGATCAGTCGAACTTTTCATCAGCTGCATTTGAGGATGTGTGTCGTCCAGTGTGAGTCGCGTGCATTCTTCTGACGTTGCTGCTGCTTCAACGGTCTTCACTTGTGGAGGCCGTGCTAAAATCGCAGTCGGAGTCCGGTAGCTAGGACGCTCGACCGGCGGTCCAGACTCTTCAACTTCCGCTTCGTTTGCATCTCCAGTATCCACAGCTGCTTCGAACGCAAGTGTTTGCCACTCCCGATAGCGGTTTGAATCCTTCCTACCAAATCCAGGTCGACGCGGGATCTGCCCAACGGGTAACCAGATTGCCAAACACACCAAACGATCCAGCACCAGGCGGCCCGTGCTGATGCTGGTGATCCGGAGGTATGACTTGTTACTGAACCCACCATTCACCACCGTGATCACCCATTTTTCTCCTCTCGTTACCCACAGTTCAAACCGCTTGTTGTGGGACTTGAGTGAGATCTCTGTCCATTGGCCAGGACCGACTTCATGGAATCCCGTTGCGTAGACCGCGTCAGCCTCGCTGCTATACAGTGGCTTACGGTCGGTCATCTGGATGCGAACTTCGTCCGGCAGACAGAGCGTTCCGTCAGCCAGGTCCAACCTCACCCCCGCAGGAACCATAAAATCCATGCCGAGAATGACGTCTTGTCCTGAGAGATCTCCAACCCACACACGGAACTTGTACACCAACTCTCCAGCCAGAGTGAGCTTGACTTCTGCTCGGCCTTCTGTGCGGTACACAGCATCCCCCACACCAACACAATCCACTGTCTGGGTTGTATCAATTTTACAACCCACCTTACGTGCAAAGGTAGAGTCGATTATCGACACTTCGGCTCCAGTATCAAAGAGTAGGACGGCACGGACATTGTTGACCGCACCGGTCGCCTTCGACTGCTTGAACCACTTGGAGGGAGTGTAATACTTCCAGTAACCTCGACGTTCACGCGGCGACAGTCGAAGGGCCATCGCACAAGGGCGACGCGAATAGTCATCTTCATCCGAGGTAAGAGTTCTGGCTGTATTTACCGCATTACAGGAAGTTGGGTCTTCTAACGCTCGCGCCTTCCTCTGAACATATGTATAAATGCAGAACTTCGATCGCTCGTCACGTACCAGGCTGTTCAGGCCTGGCGAGCGGTCTAGTTTAACGCCTTCTCGACGCTCTCGGGCAGCAGTCCGGCATGGCGAGTCGGGTTGTACCATTGGCGAACAGCATCGAAGAAGTCGCCGATTTTACACTGACCTGCTTCGTGAACGTCTCCACAGCACTTGCAGACGTAGAAGCACTTGTCGGTAGGATGGCCCATGCGTCCACACTTCTGGCACGTGAGCCTCTTCCGGCACCCGAGATCCGTATGCTTGCGAGATCCGCAGTGTGAGCATCGAGTCCCGTGCTTCGGGCGCCCCAGTTGGTCTTCGCGGTCTTGGCGCCCCCCTGGCTGTTCGCCATCTCCCTGTGTAGGCGTCCTAGCTGCCAAAAACACGTGCGCTCTTTCGTCTTCAGATTCGCTATCGGAACTGCTTGATTCGCCCTCGAACTCGTTGAGACCTTCGTGATCTCCGCGGCGTCCGCGACCGGTAGTCACAACCCGCACCGCCCTCGAGGAGGCTGCAGGGGCGGGAGCCTTTTGACGGTATTTCGAACCTTGGGTCTCAATCTTGCGACGTTGATGGCGGCGTCGCATGACCAACAGGACGCCTTCGAGAGCTTCTGAGTCAGGCAGCCTCAACACTACCAGAGATCTGGCGAGATCGTCATCTTGGACTGTATCGATGTAGTGGTCGACGTGTTCACGTCGTTGTTCCTTGGTGCCATCATGGATCTTCAAGTTTGCACGTATCCCGGCCAGATTCAGCCGGTATAAGTAATCCAGTGGGTCTTCCTGACTCCCGCGCCGCATGTGGTAGTACTTGCGCGCGAGGGAGATCCCTTTACCGCAAAAGTGGATCTGGAACTGTTCACCCAGGTCAGTCCACGACGCGCGAGCGGTGCGGCTCAGCTGGTAATACCAATTGCGCGCAGGGTCTATCATCAAATCGGCAAATGTCAAGCACATCTCGTCTGGCTGCATCTGATCCCGTCGGAAAGCCGTTCTAACCTTGTTGAACCAGGCTCGGACGGCTTCTTCGTCATGTTCCTTGCCGCTGAAGTCCTTCAGTTCGGACACAGCCGATGCTCGCAACCTAGTCGCCGTGGACACAGCTGCGACACGACCTCCGGTTCCGCCACCTCCATCATAGCCGAGGTCATCGGATAGGTCATGGAGATCTCCTTGGTATTCCGGTTGTGTCTGGGAATGGTACCCGATACGTGGCCGAGCGGGAGACGCAGTGACTGGTTACATCTCAACGTCTTCAGGCTCGTCTCGCTCGTTCGCAAACTGGTAAAGAAGGTCTTCAGCCATACCGCCGGGGCGATCGGGCTCTGTTGCAACCTCCTGGATCCTCCCACGTGGTCCTCTCGCTGGGCGAGTCTGCGCAATATTTGACACTTGCGCAGACTTCCCGCGTCCAACATCGTTTGCGCGATCGCTGGGATCCCTTGCGCACGTCGTTCTCGGCGGGACACACGTGGGGCCGGTGGAGGCTTCTTGGTTGAGGTAGTGCTCCCCATGAGAGCGTCACCGTCATCTTCAAACTTGAAGGAGATCCGCGAATCGTCCAACCGAGGAGGTGTGAGGTCTCCGGTCGGCAACGGCGCGGATGACTCATCTGCACTCGGGACGAGCTTCTGCAACACTGCGTACACCCGCGCGAGCGTAAGGACGGTGGTTTCCAGATCGTAATCGCGTACATCGGTGGAGATCCGGTGTTCATGTACCTTGAAACCAGCATCTTCGAGCACGGAGAACAGCATCGTGACGGCGTGAAGCGGATCTCGGATTGTTAGCGTGCGCGGGTTGCGAACTGGACCCGTGAGAGGCCATGGCATCGTCAGCCCCAACTTACGCAGGAGCGGATCTCTCTGGAGCAGGAACGCAAGCTCTTGACGGAAGTAGTTGACTTCGTCTTCACGAAATCGTTTGTCTTCATCGTGAGTGTCGTTGCTGGGGCCATGGACCGCTAGCGCCGAGATCTCCAATTTCTCCGTTTTCTTCTCGGCTTTCTTCTTCGCATCTTCGACCTCCATGTAGTCCATCGCAGCGTCTAGAGCATCGCTTCGGGCAGCAAGGTCGCGGATGACCCCCTTCAGATGCTCGCGCTCCAGGTTTCGACCTCGCTTTTCAGCGACGCCGGGGTCCCGCTTAGCAGCAGGTCCAATGGAACGCGGTTTTTGGACCGAGTCCCGGGCGGCTCCTTTCGGAGCCTTAACGGGGAACTTCTCTTCGTAAACGAAATCCTTCGGCTCAGGCGTCCCCATTGCCTGTCCGTCGGTGGACCTAGTGTTTTCACGTTTAACTTCCGCCGGTCCCAGCGGAGTTCCGTCTTCTCTCACCTCACCCTTCACCTTCACGTCCCCTTTCGGACTAGTAGATCCGGGCACGCGCACCATTGTGGTGGAGTCCCTCAGATAAAAACTAATAAACTCCCACACGTGTCCTGCCACGCAACCACGGGGGGGGGGGGGTTACCCCTGCAAGCCAAATACCCAAAGACAACGAGAACTAGTCCCGAGATCTCTAGGCCTCACCTTGTGTACCCTTGTAGCAAGACTCGGATCTTTATCTAGCGTAATTCCTAGAAGACGTGTAATATGAAGGGGTGGATATGGGGTTCCTTACACTCGCAGGCAGAGACTTAGGTTAACTCTGTCGCGGATGCACTTGTACAGCGAGGTAACTCTTCCCACTGTACGACAACTTGTTGTACAATATGTACGAGATCTACTGGAGATCTCCTGCCGCAGCTGAGATCTCCTGCCGCAGCTAGTCTGCGGGTCCAAACCAAAGTGCGAGACGCACACCAATACCTTACTAAACCGTTTAGAGTGGCCTACTGTCGAACACTGAGAGCTGATCTGATCTCCTGAGTCCAGACAATGCAACACACTACGCTACTAGAAGGTTACCGGGGAGGCCAAATCAATCCAGAACCCCGAGTACATTTCGCAAGTAGGTAGGAAATAGTCACAGTACACACGTAGGCGTTAACCGCACAACACAAAGACTAATATGAAGAAGTACCTTGTCTCGTTGTTGGAAATTCTAAACTGAACTGCCTATCTACCGGCGGCTCGTCTGCCGGCCAACCAACCAACCGGTATGCTGCACGCCTTTACCTCATGACGTCATCTGCTGTGTCCGTGCGGTGTCATCGTCCTTGTTACGGGCCTCCCCGTTCTGGATCTCCGTAAATACGCCATCGGGTTTCGTAATCAGTCGCCGGCCTTCTATACGGGACGCCGAGCTAGGGTGTCCCATAATTCAAGTGGATCACTCTCGGGTCACCTTCGGGTAACCTCCGGGTCCATCGCCTCACAATCCTTCAACCCGCATTACGACAGATGTGCAGAGCGATGTAGTGCAGCGGGTTGTTCTTAAACGGCGCGTGGAGCTGCTCCTCCGTGATCTCCTCGCCGAACTCGAGCGCCACGTGCAGGTGCGCCATAGGCCCTCCGCCTTCTCCACAAGACTGGAAGCCGACACCTGGCGGTTGGCCGTGTCCATGAGCGTTGAGCTGCGCACGTACGATCAATAGTAAAAATGCATGACGGTTTACAGATTCATGCTATTTCTTCGCGTATTCTCAATATATTTCGCATTGAATGATGTAGACTAGATATTGATCGACCAACAGCACAACCATTCAGCCACAAAATTTATTTCTCCGAGTAATCCTAAGAAAAGTTGTATGAAAACGCGGTTAAAATGATGAGTGACCTGGACTACAGAGCGCTCCTACGACCACCACCTACGAGCGGTGCCCCGGTCCTCAGTTCAGCTTTTTCGGTCGCTGCAGCAGCCAACCCCCCCCCCGTGCTCACGGTAAAAAACTCCGCTGCTGTGGTGCCGAACTAGCTGGACTCACCTCGCCGCAGAACCACCGAACGGACCGACACTCAGACAACCCCCCCCCCTCCCCTCCTGCGACCATCGCCGCGCTACCTACCGTGCCTCGCATCATCATCATCTCGCCTTTGCGCATGCTATCTTAGCCGCATACTGCTCAATTTGTATTAGACTTTAGCATTATTCTATCTTGGTCGCAGCGCGCCAAACATCCTCCGCGCTTTTGTAGATAGATCAAATATTGCTGCACAAACTATTTGCATAGCAACTAGAAAACTGGGTTGCCCGCTATCGGCAAATACCCTCTCCTCCTTCATTCAAACATTTCAGAGCTGGCACCTTCGTACTTAACGTTTACTCGTAAGCTCTGGAAACGAATATCCTACTGAACTAATTTGCCACTCCACCGAAAAAGCCTCTGCTTTTACGTGAATTTCAAGAAACCATGCGATTTCTGAGATTATTAAATGACTTTACTTGATTTCAGTATACTTTTACTTTATGTGCACCACATATCAGGTGCATCGAATTAATCCTGGTTGGGCTGTCCATACTTCGTAACCGAAGTACTACCAGGATTAAGTATCACTCTAATCGAGGGTACAACATCGCGCAGCTAGAGGGATCGGGAACCGCTTCTGCTCTTGCATACAAGCGGATTGGTACCAAGTTTGTGCATCTACCAAACCTCAATGACGGTCTCCTCAAGGTTGTATACCCGAACCGCTCGACAGTCGGTCCTCAGCGCAAGATCAGCGATGACCTAACAAAGCTAATCAAGGCCTTGGTATTCGATGGCAATATCGATCAACAGCTCTACGACTCGATGTCCGTGGATGATCGACGAGTGTTTCACGAGCTACTGCGTATCACACATACCCAACACGCGCTACACGATCCAATCAAGGATCCTCGCGAGGTACTGCGGCAAGAGTACATCAAACTGAGGGGAGGAGTGATGCTTGGCAATAACCACCCGAGCCTGATCCGCGAACTCAAGCAGGTATTGGTCGACATGTATTCAGCAAAGCCAATTTCGGATAACGAATTAAAGGAGGTTTTGGTTGCTATTGTATAGAAATATCATCATATTCATCAATACTAGACTCGTCGACACGAAGAACGCGTACCAGCGCGAAGCGAGAAGCAACCTAAAGGAGCTGAAATCGCTCATGGAGAAGTTGGTAGTGAAAGCCCCGCCTATCGCTGATAGCGCGTTTAAGGCCTCCAAACCGGGTGGTAGCGTTTGGACATACTCTGAACCCCAAAAAAGCCGCACGTTTAAGCTCTAAGCTGAGCAAGCTCTTTTTTTATCTCCTCGATTACCTTGTTGCTCTTGGATCGCTCGCGCTAAAACCGATATCAGGCTAGCTAGATCAATGCCCCATGGGTTAATTAGAAACCCTTCTTGATTTATATCATCATTGGTGCCGATTTCAACGGCCTCAGGGATGACCTCATGCATTTCCTGGGCGATAAAGCCAACGTGTGTTGTTTGCTCTTGAATCATTTTGAACCGCCTGGGGCGCATGCTTATGACCGCATCGAGTCCGTATTGTAGATCGATGATATCCGTTTTAAGCCGACGATCACTTGCATTTGTATATACTCCACCTCGAACTGGCACATACACCGTCCAAGCATAATTAGCATCGGATTTCCTTGATATAACAGGTATCAAATCGATCAGTTGCAGCTCATTGAAGCTGAATGGTTCAACTATTGATCTCAGCAGCCTATCTCTACTGACCGCGCCGGCTGGAACAGCTCAAAACAACAAGGTTCTCATCCTTGGTAGTAGATCATCCTCGGATAGTAGATTAGCGCTTGATGTGATATCCATTTTTGCGGTTGATGTAGATGATCCAAAACGGATATAACCTGCCTGAGTGATACGCATGCGTTCAGTCATCGGCGATAATGCGTTAGCTCCTAACCGTGTAGAGATAGCGAAGTCAGCCATGTTGTACTGCGTTGTTGAATTAGCCGTTCATGTGCAATATAAATTCACAGAAGGCGTGAAAGTACTTAAATCGCTAGTGCCTTCGACAGTAAAGCTTATCCCGGCCTGAGCTCCTGTTGTATTGCTGTGATTCAAAATGATTAGATTGAAATCGCTTACCCTCGTTGTACTTGAAAAGATCGTCCCAAGCGTTATCGATAGAATACTCGTTTGTGGTGAAATAGCGACTCCTCCGATCGTAAGCGATGAGCAATTGAAAGCACCTGCCACATCAAGCTTGTAGCTGGTATTAATTGAACTTCCGCCGATATTGATATTACCGTTATTAACCATAATCAGACGGTCTGATAGACCGTATTTGAGAAAGAGCTGATTTGATCCAGAAGTATTTGCTGACCCGCGACCGCCCATTTCGCATTGATAATACGAAACGAAGTGTAGACTAGCTGCCGATGACATGTTATCATTTTGAACAACGAGAGACTTCGAGAGATCCGATCCAACTACTGAGAGGGATCTCAATCCGGTAATACCATATGAAGCATCAGCTACAAGCGCTTTGCTTGCCTCAACCGTTCCTAGAGTACTTAGTGATAATCGAGGAATCAACGATAAATCGTAAGTAGTAGAGTCTTGAATGAAGCTAGTTCCGCGGATAGCACCAGCTACATCGAGTTTGTATGCCGTATTAATACTAGCTTGACCAATAGCCATATTGCCGTTGATGTCCATCAGCAGCCGATCGGTATTTGCGAAACACCAAAAGTAAGTATTGGGCAAGATGGCATTAGCCGATCCTCGTATGCCTTGCTCCATCTGATACTAGCTCACGATATTGAGACTGGCTGTCGATGTAGTACTATCATTCTGAATGACCAATCCTTTGCCAAAAACAGAAATTATACTCAACGAACTTAGAGTTCCGACAGAAGTGATATTAGGCTGAGCCGCGGTCTGTAGAGTACCTGTAATGCTTGTTGCCGTCAAGCTGGAGATCGTTCCAATTTATCCAGAAGCTCCAAGGATGAGAGCCTTGTTGTTTTGAGCTGTTCCAGCCGGCGCGCTCAGTAGAGATAGGCTGCTGAGATCAACAGTTGAACCATTCAGCTTCAATGAGCTGCAACTGATCGAATTGATACCTGTTATATCAAGATTGATATCAACCAGACCTCTCCTCCAGAGTGAATGGTTGCTTCAGGCGACCAAGCGCTCAGCGCTCATACCAACCCCCAACCGTCCTGATCTGTTGAGATAAGCTTGTGTTGAGTTTCCAACCATGAACCGGAGGGGATCGCTCGTAGTAGTGCCGAGAGCAACGCCGTTAGATCCGCCAGCCACATCGTTGTAGATCTGTACCTCGAATTCGATAGGGGTCGATTGATCATTAGCTATGCGCATCGCGCGCTGCCAGCTACCGGATAGTAGATTAGCGCTTGATGTGATATCCATTTTTGCGGTTGATGTAGATGATCCAAAACGGATATAACCTGCCTGAGTGATACGCATGCGTTCAGTCATCGGCGATAATGCGTTAGCTCCTAACCGTGTAGAGATAGCGAAGTCAGCCATGTTGTACTGCGTTGTTGAATTAGCCGTTCATGTGCAATATAAATTCACAGAAGGCGTGAAAGTACTTAAATCGCTAGTGCCTTCGACAGTAAAGCTTATCCCGGCCTGAGCTCCTGTTGTATTGCTCTGATTCAAAATGATTAGATTGAAATCGCTTACCCTCGTTGTACTTGAAAAGATCGTCCCAAGCGTTATCGATAGAATACTCGTTTGTGGTGAAATAGCGACTCCTCCGATCGTAAGCGATGAGCAATTGAAAGCACCTGCCACATCAAGCTTGTAGCTGGTATTAATTGAACTTCCGCCGATATTGATATTACCGTTATTAACCATAATCAGACGGTCTGATAGACCGTATTTGAGAAAGAGCTGATTTGATCCAGAAGTATTTGCTGAACCCGTGAACGGCCATTTTCGCATTGAT